CCGGCTGCTTCAGCTCCCGTGCTGCCCGATGGCCTTGCGCTCTCAGCTGATCTCCTCTGGGTGCCTTTCTTCCAGACCCCCCTGAAGAAGGCGAACGCCCTCATAGCACAGATGGGAATGACCTTCCTGAACGCGGTGAGTGTTTGCGTTCGCTCTCGGGGCTCCTGAGGCGCGCCCGTTTGCGTAGCCGGTGTCGTCGCTCATCTGAGGTCTAGGAACTGGTAGCAGTTTTACCGTGTCTGTGCCTGGGTGGGTGCGGGGGTCTTTAAGTGCAAACTCTAACTAGTTTTAGGTCTCAAAATGAGTATAGCTCAAGGTCACGTCTAGAATCTGAGAGGGAAAGTTTCACTTCCTGAAAGTGCTTGTGCTGACTTCCTTCAGCTGTGAAGTAAAACGGAGTAATCTGAATGTTTGTATTACAAACTGAGAAGCATCAGAAGAAGCTACTTCAAACTTTCAGCTTCATGCGTGCTGGAAACCCGCTTCACTCTTTGCAGTTCTAATGCCTTGCCATGGCTAAAACAACAGCGTGAATCCACCGGCGGACAGTGTTTTAACACATGCTTTTAATGGCCATTTACCACTTGCTGCTGTATGAGAACCACATCTGATCGGGGGTGGGGTGGGGCGGGGCTGAAGGACATGTGCTGCAGGAACCTAGAATTGGCTTCATGTGCAGCTTTTCACTAGTGAAATACTTCCAATGTAATTCTGTGTGTTCAGGAAGAAGTATGCTTTGGTGCTGGGGAACTTTTTAATCAACCTATTGACTGATACTTCAAAGCTATAAGTTTTGAGGTAAAACTGTTTTACAGTGCCAATCGTGAATCGCTTCATCCTGTCTTTCCAGTACGTTCCCAGTGCACTTTGCTGTCCCAGTCGAGCTAGCATTTTGACAGGAAAATATCCACATAATCACCATGTTGTCAATAACACCCTGGAAGGAAACTGTAGCAGCAAGTTATGGCAGAAGATTCAAGAACCGTACACCTTCCCAGCACTGCTCAAAACTATGTGTGGTTACCAAACGTTCTTTGCTGGAAAGTATTTGAATGAGGTATGTTGCGCTTATTTTTTTTTACTGTGATGCAGTTCGCTTGTGTTTGTCCACCTTTCTAAAACATCCACTGATTTTTTTATGTCTGTAGCTGGCCGCGGGTCCTCACAGTGTTTAAAATGGTGTTACTTGGGCGAGCAGCTCGCTTCGCTGAGAAGGAATAAATGCCACGCAAAATTAAAATCTTTCAGTTAACTTGGTTAAAATCAGGTTCTGTAGGTGCCTGAGTGTTTTTAGAAGTTAATTTTGAAAGGATGATGGAATACAAAGGCGCTTTTAGTATGTTCAGATGTGTTAATTGTTAGAGGTGATGATTTTAATCACTGGGGGAAATGCATAGATGATTGGCGTGTGGTAGTGAACACCACAGAGCCAGTCCCAGAGCAGGCTCACTGTTAGAATAACGGTAAAGGAAAGAATCAGTTTGTCTCAATATTCCCAATTGATATATCCCCTTGAATCAAGGGAATATTTTTTTAGCAGTTAATTATAGTATTTTAAATATTAAATGTCCATTGAGGCAAATTCACTGGGAGAACAGATATTATCAGAGCTCTTTATAGAGGTTACCCAACAATTTATTACTGAATCACTTGTATGTGTGTGCTTTGGCTTTTTCTGTTTTTAAGCTGTGGTTTGTAGCAGTTTATGGTAAGCTGTAAAATTCAACGCCGAAAGCTGTGAGATGGGATGTTTCTCTTGTGTGATGGAATTGCATGTGGAGCTAGATGAGTTACAGGGTGCTTAACAGCATAGTTTTCCTTTCATCTCTTGGTGGAAAGTGTGGTGGTATAACAGAATATTGGAACATGAGTT